ATTCGCATGCATATTGGGGATGAGTGGAAAACAGCTTTTAAAACCAAGTATGGTCTTTATGAATGGTTGGTTATGCCTTTTGGATTAACTAATGCACCTAGTACATTCATGAGACTAATGAACCATGTCTTACGAGAATACTTAGGTAAGTTTGTGGTTGTTTATTTTGATGACATCCTTGTTTACTCTAAATATTTAGATGATCATATTACCCATGTACGCAATGTTTTGACTACTCTAAGAAACGAATGTTTGTACGTAAATTTAAGGAAATGTAGCTTTTGCATGGAAAAAGTTAACTTTCTTGGGTTTGTAGTTTCATCTAATGGTGTTGAGGTTGATGAGGAGAAAGTGAAGGCTATAAAAGATTGGCCTACACCTAAAAATGTAAGTGAGGTAAGAAGTTTTCATGGTCTTGCAAGTTTCTACCATAGGTTCATTAAAAATTTTAGTACAATTGCTTCACCCTTGAATGAACTTGTTAAGAAAAATGTATCCTTTAGATGGGAAAAAGATGAAAAACATGCTTTTAATACTTTGAAAGAAAAATTGAGTTCTGCTCCCTTGCTTGCATTACTTAATTTTGAGTCTACTTTTGAAATTGAATGTGATGCTAGTGGAGTAGGGATAGGTGCTGTATTAATGCAAAATCAAACACCTTTAATGTTCTTTAGTGAGAAGTTGACTGGTGCATCTTTGAGGTATCCAACTTATGACAAAGAGCTTTATGCTTTGGTTCGTGCATTGCAAACCTGGCAACATTATCTTTGGCCTAAGGAGTTCATTATTCATACGGATCACGAAAGTTTAAAGCATTTAAGAGTACAAAATAAACTCAACAGACGATATGCTAAGTGGTTAGAATTTATTGAAACATTCCCTTATGTCATAAAATATAAACAAGGTAAGGAGAACATTGTTGCAGATGCTTTATCACGAAGGTATGTCCTCCTCAATACTTTGAATGCTAGGTTGTTGGGTTTTGAACACATAAAGGATTTGTATCAACATGACATGTTCTTTGCTCCTTTTGTTGAATCTTGTGAAAAAGGACTCATTGTGGATAATTACTTGTTATTAGATGGATTTTTGTTCCGAAAAGGCAAACTTTGCATACCATCTTGTTCCATACGTGAGCTACTTGTGAGGGAAGCTCGTGGAGGTGGTTTAATGGCACACCATGGAGTTTCTAAAACTTATGATATGCTCTCTGAACTTTTTTTTTTTGGCATAAAATGAGACATGATATTCATAAAGTTTGTACTCGTTGCATAACATGTAAACAAGCTAAGTCTAGGCTTCAACCACATGGTTTATACTCCCCATTACCGGTTCCTAATGGTCCTTGGATTGTTTTAGGTTTACCTAGGACTAGGAAAGGTTATGATAGCATCTTTGTTGTGGTTGATCGATTTAGTAAAATGGCTCATTTTATTCCTTGTCACAAAACTGATGATGCAAAACATATTGCTGACTTGTTCTTTAGGGAAGTTGTACGATTGCATAGCATTCCTCAAAGCATCGTTAGTGATCGTGATGTAAAATTTTTAAGCCACTTTTGGCGTGTTCTATGGGGTAAGTTAGGAACTAAGCTAGTATATTCAACTACTTGTCATCCTCAAACGGATGGACAAACTGAAGTTGTTAATAGAACCATGACTGCTATGCTTAGGGCTATTATTGATAAGAATCTTAAGACTTGGGAGGATTGTTTTCCATTTATAGAATTTGCATATAACACTACTAAATGCACACCTTTTGAAATTGTTTATGGCTTTAATCCTTTAACACCCATTGACTTGTTACCTATACCGTCAAAAGAGTTTGTGAATTTTGATGCAAATGCCAAGGTTGAGTTTGTTCATAAACTGCACAAGCAAGTAAAAGAACAAATTGAGAAACAAAATTCCAAGGTTGCCACCCGAATTAACAAAGGACGTAAGATTGTCATTTTCAAGCCAGGAGATTGGGTTTGGGTGCATTTCCGAAAAGAAAGATTTCCTACTCAAAGAAAATCTAAGCTTTTACCACGAGGAGATGGACCTTTTCAAGTTCTTGAGCGTATCAATGACAATGCTTATAAAATTGATTTACCAGGTAAGTACGGTGTTAGTGCGACTTTTAATGTTGTTGATTTGAGTCCTTTTGATGTAGGTGATGACTTGGATTCGAGGACGAATCCTTCTCAAGAGGGGGAGAATGATATGAACCACGACCAAGGAATTTCCATACCTCAAGGTCCAATTACAAGGACGAGAGTCAAGAACCTACAACAAACCTTATACAGTTATATTCAAGCTATAGTGATCTCATCAAAAGAAATTCTAAAAAACGTTGGAGACCTCCCTTATATGTTGTGCAAAGTTGAGGTTCAAGAAAGAGATGAATTAAATGCAACTTACCCACTGAATTTATGAAACTAGTTCAAGGATAACTAATAAGCACATTTTATTCATTGTATTATTTAATTATAGTTTAACTCTTTGTTTGTCATATTTAAGCTAGTTTTAAATATAAGAGTTAAGGTTATATTGTAACCCACATACCACTGTTAACCAGTCATTTTAATATGGAGGTTATTGGTATTTCTCATTTACTAGCTTGTTTAATTTGGAAGTAGTATGACCTAGGTTAAGGTTGTAAAGTCTATATAAAGGGTTCTTTTTTTTATTAGACATCAGATTTTGGAATTAAGAATAGAATTTCTATTTTTAGCTTTGTTGAGAGCTAAACTTTCTTTGCACATTCTTGTGTTTAAAACTTGGAGGTAGAGTGAGTGGTATTGATCAAACCTCTTATAAAAGTTGACATCTCGCTATTTAAAGGAGGTCATTCTATCACTCTACGTTACATGCCCTTGGAGATAAAATATGGGTCTTAAGTTCATAATTCCAGTTCTAGAGGCTTCATTATAAAAGTTGGGTGCACAAGGTAGACATACGAAATTCTACTAATTTGTATTAGCAACACGCTCAATCGTACGAACCTCCTATTTAGCAACTCTTATAACTATTCCTTTTGCTCCATCAACTTAGCTAAGACCAACCTAAATATAAAGCTTTCAAGATTGGAGTTGTCTCTAACTCGACCTCAATCCCAAAACCAATTTCCTTCACTGAAGATAATCTTGATGGCTTGTCACAAGAGACATCATCAAACTTTCTTACCATGGGCAGTGAAACGTTTCAATAATACAAATAAAATAGTAAATATAAATAGTACGAAATAAGATACGAAACACATAGGTATATATATATATAGTTAATCACTATTATAATCGAAGTCAAAATTACCCTCAGAATTCATAATAATTTCATAAGAGATAGTTCCTTTTTGAAATAATGCATCTCTAAAAAAAACTCTTTTTTTGTAAACTATGTCAAATAAATTTAGTTAGCTAACTTAGAAAAAGAAAAAAAAGAAAATGGATGGCATTCAAATTAATCCATCTAAAAAAAAAATATAATGTAGATATTTTTTAAGTTAGTCAACTACAAAAAAGAAGGGAAAAAAAGACATGATTGACCGTATATATTAAAAGTACTAACTTTACTTTAGCCCGACAGCCTTTTCTTAAAAGCTAAATATGTATTCAATTTTTAAAAATGGTCAATTTAAACTTTTGGGATAAAAGAATGGGTCATATATTTCTTAATAAAACCCCTTAAATATTATAATCTAAAATTTGAAAAACAAAATAAATTAATTAATAACTACGATCAAATGAACAAACATTTATTCAAAGCCCTCAAACAACTCTTTGTCCTGTTTTTTTTTTTTTTTTTTTAACAGACATTTGAAGTTCTAATGTTGTGTAGAAGAGTCACCATAAAGCTCAGTAAAAAAAAAATTATATATCTAATTAACCACAGTAAAAAGATTGTTTTTCTTTTTTACTTTATGAAAAGGTTATTCTCTTGTAACGAAGCACAAAAATAATCCTGAAGCAAGAAACCTTTTTCTGAGTAATAAAAAATTTTCTGGTCACCTGAAATATTATCATTTTACAAAGTTATTTGATTCTTTAAATTATTTCCATTTCATTCTTTAAAATAAATTTAAAAAAAGAAAAAACAGATAAAAGTGAACATGTAAAATATATTTTAGATTACCTAAAATTTAAAATTAAATCTCTATTTTTTTTTTTAATTTTGATTCTACGATATCTGTCATTATTACATGACGTAAAAAAATATAATGTGACATTAATTTAATCAGCAAGTAACAACGATACTAAAAAAAAAGAGGGTAAGCCAGCTAGCTTACTTTTCTTATGTTACATCGTGTCTAAGAATTTATTCTTATTCCATTTAATTTATCCCTTTAACATTTTAGTAACTATATGAATAGTAATAAGAATTAAAAGTCAAAATTAAAAATTCTAAGTCATTTGCTTTAAAATTTAATTAAATTTAAAACAACTAAATATCAAATTCTAATGGTTAGATTAGAAAATTAAAAGTATTGTTTAGGGGCATTCAAAATATAATGAGAGGGAGAGAAGACTAATTAAAAAAAAAAAAAAAAAAAAAAAAAAAAAAAAAAAAAAAAAAAAAAAAAAAAAAAAAAAAANAAAAAAAAAAAAAAAAAAAAAAAAAAAAAAAAAAAAAAAAAAAAAAAAAAAAAAAAAGAGGCAATTTAAATATTTTAGTAATTAGTCAACCAGTCAAAAGTAATTTTTGACCATGTGCTAAATTCTTTCCTATGCTTTGAATGGTCACAGTAGAATTATTTATCATTTTCTAAAATCAATTAATTATTAGTTCATTCATTATTAATATGGATAATAATTAAGTAAATATTTTGAATAGAAGAGATAACTAATTGTTAATAAAAAAAACTTATATAATTTTATTAGAATCATTTATTTGAAAATATTTATACTTATTATTAATGAAATAATGATTATGAAATTATTTAAAATGAAATATAAGATCCGTAATAAAGGAGAGTTTGGGGAGAAAAGAAAAGAGAAAAAGAGGAAAGGTTTGAAGAGTGGGAATTAGGACAAACATTTATTCAAAACCCATTCACCAAATTTTGTCGTTTTAGAGATATAAAGTTTGAATCAACCGTGGAAATAAAGAAAGGAAGAACATGAGGGGGCCCCACCCCACCCCCACAAACTCTACAATCTTTGAACTTGCTATGTAATTTAATCACAAATTACCTCCTTAATCCCTCAAAAATGAATCCCTCAAAAATGAATCCCTCAAAAATGAATCCCTCAAAAATGAATCCCACAAAACTCCCATTGCACATACATTATCAATTTTTGTACAACTAATTGGTTCTGGGTTTGGTGTGTTATGTTTATACACATCTCTAATCATACAATTAATATCTAATCTACGTTAATTAGCACCCACAAAATCAATGAATTAATCAATTAATCCCGGGATTTTATGCGGATCTTCGGCTTGTAGTGAATGGCACGGAGATGGTGAAGTGAGTAGGACGATCGTGGCGGTGGAGAAGGAAATGGGTTTCCCTTCTTCAACCCAAATGGAGAAATCCCGCCTTTCTTTTTGGTCTCTTCAATCGTCTCCAGCTTCGGCTTCCATCGCCGGGCTCGGACCAGCTGGGTGTATTCCTTGGCCAACTGGGGGGTGGTGCAGATTTTTCCTTGCGGCAACGGCGGTGAAGGCAGGGGTTTCGGATTCCCCTGTTCGAGTAACTGAGAGATGAACTCGTCGGAGACTCGGATTCGGAGGCAGCCGGAGGGGGTTCGTTGGAGGTCGAAAGGGTGGAGGCAGGCGGCGGCATTGGTGTGGAAACGGTTTGGTTTGTTGGGAGGAGAGAAGAAAGAGGCGATTGAGACGAAAGAGAGAACAGAGTGGAAGAAGGGCTTGGGGAGGAGGAAGTACTTATGGCCGAGTTGGAGAAAGTCGTGTTCGGAGAGATGAGGGATTTTCTGGCCGATGTAAAAGGCGTCGGATCGGCAAACTAAGTGCTTAGGGAACTCAAGCAGAATCTCAGAGACAGAGATGGGTCGGTGGTAGACTCTCACAACGCCGTGGGAAAGAATGAGCTTGATGTTAGCAGAGGGATCGGGGATGTCAGTAGTAGTAGTAGCCTTGGCCAAATGGAAACAAGACCATGAAACCATATTCTGAACACTCAGCGCCTTCATCCCCATATCTCATGTGAAGAATGTGGTAATTGCAATAATGGGGGAAATGGGGGAGGGGGAGGAGATTATATGGGGGGAAGAATGAGAGGGAGGGAGAAGAAAGAGGCGTGAGACCCGGGTAAACCCTTTTGGTTTAGTTTCTCTCTCCTTTGAATGTTGTATGGAGAAAGTAACAGTAGTTGGGATTTGTTGTTTAGGGCGTTTTAAAAAAAGAAGGAAGAAGTTTGACTGGATTTGTTAAGGTGTGTGTGTATATGGGTATATGGTATGATCTGTCGTACACCAAATGCGGCCGCATCCATCGACCATTTTTGAATCTTACGTAGCGCGCACTTTTTCTTTTCCTTTCTCTTCTCTTCTCTTCTGATCTTATCTGACCACCATCCCCCGAAAACAGGGTGACGTTTTGTTTTTTTTTTTTTTTGTACATTAAATAAAAGAAGCTTACTGTTTCTCAGGATACATTTCATGTAGTATAGGCAAAGCAAAGCAAGAGGGGGGTGATACGCGCCCACCCACCCACGAACCCTCACGTGGGGGGACACATTTGAAGGCGCCAATGGTCTTAGTACATGTCAAAAATGGCGTCTTATTCAACAAAAGGTGGAGAGAGAGAGAGAGAGAGAGAGAGGGATTTGATTGGTGGGAGGGGAGAGGAGGGGAAGGCATTGTATGTAGGGCTTTGAACAACAACTGTAGACCAAGACTGACACCCTCATTCCGGGTTGGCATCCACTCTCCTTCCAACCTTTCTTCTTTTGCTCCATATATTTCTTCCTCTTATTTCATGGACCCCAATTTTTTTACCTCTATATTTCAATTGTAGTGTGCCAAATTGCTTATTCGGGTATAATCGATTTACACCCTTTGCCCTATAAACCACACTTCAAGTTTCCAGAGTCTTACCCAAACTAATTTGATTGTGATTATAGTAGTTGACAAATTACTTCGACTAAAATTATTGATCGACTCTACTTGACCATGATCGTGGCTTAACTCTTCACAAGCACTATAGTGCAAACTTGTGAAGTTGATTCTTTTAATTAGACTAGTTTCATATTTCTAATTCACCCTTGGTGCGAATATGTAAATATGTACTCTATTCACAATATCATACCTCATTTTAAGAAATCTAAAAAAAAGGGAATAGTACCAAATCTACCTAAAAAATTTCTAAATTGAGAAAGTAACATGAGTAGTCAAAAGTTACGCCATTATTTCAATCACAAATAGGTTTCTACAAAAGTTCTACACAACTCAACACTCTTTTCCTCACTCGCAAATAAGATAATAGAAGTGACGAAATTTAATTCGAATTAGTATGCTAAAACTTAAAATATTTCCAACTAGGACTAAAATTATAAGCTTTTGTAAAATACTTGAGCCTATACATTCGAGTACCTTTCATACATGATAAGTTGTTGTTTTTTTTTTTTTTTTTATAATATTTTTCCAAGACTAATGAAATAATAAGTGCTGCTAAATACAGCAATTCTTAAACGACTAAAGAGGTTTATCCGTCATTTTTTATTTTGTGTATGGATATAGAAAGGATAATGCAATTGTAAATTATTACTTGAGTCATCGGATTAGAGCCAAATATGTTTTTCAATGTCTGATTCAAGCTATGTGAACCCACAACATCATATTACACCAAACTAACGAGTTTATCTTACTTAAAGCCGAGTTGCTGCTGGAGAAGGGCGCGGATCATCTTGAGTTGGGTTGGGTATATGGGTGGGCATGCAGGTCGCATGCTTACATAAATGGGGTGGTTGCGTATCTTGGCCTGAACCTGCGCGTAGGCAACGCACACATGAACTAGGCTAAGAGCTTCTACAATGAGGCACACCCTAGTGATTCTAACGGTACCTTGCACAAATGGAGAATCAAAGAGACAAAGCAATATTTACCTTGAAAATCACAATCGAAGAAGAGATGTTAGAGCACATTTGGAATGACAAGACACCGAAAGAAGTATGAGACACGTTCGTGATGTTGTTCTCAAAGAAGAACGTTATGAGGTTACAACTTTTGGAGAATGCATTGTTGACAATTGCTCAATACTTCCATAAGATCAAGTTGATCTACCGGGAGATTACTGAACTAGACCCGAAGTTCGTCATTGGAGAAGCTCAAATGAAGAGGATCATTATTGACATATTGTGACCAGAATATAGAAGCTTCATTATTGCTATATAAGGATAGCCCACTCAACTATCACTTGTAGAGTTTGAAAATTTGTTGTTAGCCAGTTAAAAAGTCATGGCTAAACAAATGGGAGGCATCACGTTAAAAGGGTGAAGAAGAAGTGCTCTACAAAAGTGAAAGTGGGAGCAACAATAAGCAGTCTACCAAACGTGGTTACAAAAATGGTGATAAAGAAAGAAGTCACCAAAGAACTGCACAACCAGGGAGAACTTAGAAGAACGACAACAAGAGTTCTCAAGGGAAGAGATTTAAAGGTATTTGCTGTAACTGTGGGAAGAAGAGCCACATGGTTTGTTGGTCCAGAGGAGAGCATGTTGAAAGCAATGTGGCATCACCATGCAATGTGACATCCTCCAACATGGAGATGGAGGAGGAATGGATGCAGAGGCAATATGTGTCATAGAAGAAGACAAGCTAGCGCTAATGGCAATGATGGAAGAATACATTGATTATGAAAATGACTAGATCATTGATTAAGGATGCTCAAACCACATGATTGACTATTGAAGTGGTGCATTGGAAGAGGGGTGGCCCTCAGAGAACGAAGTATTACTAAGCTTGGACAACATTGAGGAAGTTCTTCCATAAAAGACGATGGAGCAACTGTACACATTTGCTTAAGTACTGATGTGCCTGGAGATCCGAGTGACACTAATGTTGGTGAACAAGAAGTGACTCAATCAAGTAAATTCGGTGAAAAGGAAATGATACCTCAACAACTTAGATAGTAAGAAAGAATCCTAAAGACAAATCCAAAGTATACCAATACAGTTATTATAGAAGATGAAGTTAAAGAGTAAGAGACGTATAAAGAAGCATCACACAATACGATTTGGTAGCAGACAATAGAGGAAGAAGTTATAGCATTTGAGAAAGATCAAATTGAAAACTAGTGCAAAAGTAGGAGATATCAAATCCATCTTTTGCAAGTGGATTTACAAAATAAAGTGTGCCCCAGGTGGATCAATCAAGAGATACAAGGCTCGGACTGTAGCCCCAGGGTTTCTCTCAACAATATGGACTAGACTCTGATGAAACGTTTAGTCCAGTGGTGAAGATCACTATCGTACAGGTTTCTCCAACACTTGTAATAAATAAAGATTGGAAATTATGGCAGATGGATGTGAAAAATGCTTTCTTGCATGGAGAGTTGAATCGAGAGATCTACATTAACCAACCAAATGGAGTTGGATTTGAAAATGGAGATCTACATGCAAGGTTCAAAAAAGCCTTATTTGGATGCCACTCGACAAATCTTGTGATAAGTCAAAGGTATAATCAATTAGGATCTTTTGTACAAAACCAGAAAAGACTACAAGTTAGCTAGATATCATGATGTTGACTATGTAGGATATCACGATACTCAAAGATCAATCATCGGACATGTGTTCAAGCTCGGTTTGAGAATAATTTTTTGGTATAGAAAAAGGCAACCAATAGTATCCTTGTCAACTATAGACGTAGAGTACAGAGTAGTGGCTGGAGCAGCTCAAGAAAGTACATGACTGAAACTCTTAACGGAGGATTTGCACTAGAAAATTGACTATCCAATACCATTTGATTGCGACAACCAATTTGCAATTCGATTAGCAGAAAATCCGATGTTTCATGCTAAAATAAAGCATGTGGAGGTGCATTATCATTTCATTGGAGAAAAAGTTGTGAAGGAAGAAATCGTGATGCAGCAGATCAAGACAGATGACAAAGTGACAAACTTGTTACAAAAGGGTTGAATACTGCCCAACATGAGTGTGTTGTAATCTCTTCTCGATTGTTGTTAATAAAGAGTGCTTGTAATCTCTTTTCGATTAGTGTCGGTAAAGAGTGCAAGTGTTTATCCCACTAATTATGTTTAATATAGGATCCCAGGGGATCCTAGGTGCCCTCCAAAGTCTCTAAGTACCCAATAATGAATGTGGTCACAAGCAGCACCAATCACCAACAGTAGACAAATGCACTTGAGAGCTTTTGGGGTTTGATGATTGTAGCACCACGTTGTTGAACCGTGGTAATAAACTCTCAATTCAACCATGTATCATCAGCAACAAGCTCATAGATAGATTTCCATTCAACATTTTAAGCCCGTTTGACCCAGAGAAGGGTCTTAAACAGCTCTCCCCAATTTCCCGATCGTGGAAATGGATGACAACCACCTCGAAAAACGAAACTTCAAAAAGTAAAAATAAAAATAAAAATTCATAATTCATAATATATAATCCTGTAAATGGATTATTGGCCCGTATTGAATATCCAAAAATTAAAAGAAAAAAAAAGGTAAGAAAACGCATAAGTGGATCATGGCCCACAAACATAGAGAAGTGGCTTCACCGATCCGCAAGCTTCACAGTGCACATTTAAGACGATCGGTGGTAGTTTCGGCGCCGGACGGTTTCGACCACAATCAAATCTCGAGAGAGATAGAGAGATGGGAGCTGGGTGGGGACGGTGGTCCAAATTAGCCGCCGTTGTGGCGGTGGTGGCGATTCTAAGAGAATTAGGGAAGCTATACGGATGGGAAATTGACAGAGAAGCAGCTCTCAAGGTTTTCGGCCAATGGTCAGATCGCTTGGGGGTATGGGCCATGCCTGCGTATGTCGGCGTCCATACCTTCACACTTGCACTCTGTTTGCCTTATGCCGTCTTCTTCGAAGCCACTGCTTCTTTGCTCTTCGGCTTCTTCCCTGCCGTCATTTGCGTGTTCTCTGCCAAGGTGCTTGGGGCTTCCCTCTCCTTCTGGATCGGCAGGTTTGATCTCTAATTTCTTGCCATATGATTTTGCTTTATTAGATTCTGAGTTTAAGGCTTATGATATATCGTAATATGAAATCGTCTGCTCGTTGTATGGAATTAGGTTGGAATTTTCTAGCTATAGTTTAAGATGTGTTTGTTGATTGGACAGTTTTCTTTTGTTCGCATCTTGGGATCTTTTATCTGTTCTATATTTTAATTGTAAGTGGATGCCACGAAATGGATTCCTTTTCGCTGATGCTTTAGTTTGAAGATGATGTTCAAGACGTCCTTAGTCTGTGTAGATAAGTGAAATGATACACGTTTTGCTGGTTGTACATAAGAATCGTTAGCATTGTGTTCAAAAGAATCTTTGCTTGGCATCTAAAGGGATGGGATAGCCACAAAGAAGCTGAATTAGAGCTACCGCATTATGTTAGGGAAGTACTGATGTAGGTTAAATTGATTAAATGACTCCACCCATCTTTTAGCTGGAAAGGTGCCATGAAAGTAGAGGTAATCTAGTCATCTGATGGTCTTTTACAAAAAAGCGCTCAAACTTGTGGACTAAGTATAGTTATGATGTTCTACAATTTGTTGCTAGTCGGCAACCGATCATGGAGTTTTAGATTTCCAAATACCTTTTGTCTAAGCAGATACCAAGGATTTGTTTCATTTGAAAAAGTTGTAGAAACAGGGATCCAATGATTTTTAAAAAAACAGCACACTCCCTCCATTGATGAGCTTTTTGAGGTCAACATACTTGAATGGATGCCAGAGAGTAGTGGATTCTTTACCTGCAAATTGGTGTTCGTACACAATCCACCTTTAGCAGAAAACAAAGGGTTGTTGTATGACTCTTCATTTCTTTAGCTATCATCAATGATTGCAATCAACCATTTAGAATTGATTAATATATGCATTTCAAAGTTAGTTTGACCAATAAATTGCTTGTTTTTCTAATATACTTTATTTCTGTCATCTTTTTGATTGGGATGTGGTGATCTGACTGGCTTTATTTGATTGTTTATATAAAATGTTTGAAGAGTCACTTGATTGGTTCTTTTGAATTTCCGTTCTCTATCCCTCTTCTCAATCTCAAGCCAAGGTCATCTTCTGTTCAGGTTACTTTTTAAGAATTCAAGTTCAGCTATGGAGTGGGCCCAGAGGAACAAATACTTCCATCTTCTTTCTAGAGGAGTAGAGCAAGATGGATGGAAATTTGTCCTTCTTGCCCGCTTTTCACCGATCCCCTCGTACGTTATAAATTATGCTCTTGCTGCAACCAAAGTTGGGTTCTTTCTAGACTTTCTGCTACCTACTGTAATCGGATGCATGCCGATGATACTTCAGAACACGTCGATTGGCAGTCTCGCCGGTGCTGCAGTTGCTTCAGCGTCTGGCTCCCAGAAATCTCAGATATGGTCATACATTTTTCCTGTACTTGGTATTGGGTCGAGCATTCTTATTTCCTTGAGGATTAAAAAGTACTCTAGTGGACTCAAAATGGCCGAAAGTTCCTCTAGTGTTGAAAGGAGTGACAGTGTTGAGCCATCCAAAGCCAAGGAGTTTAAGAAAACTCAATAGTTTTTAGTAACAGATGAGTTATTTACAAACTCTTAGATGATATATTTTCATTCATGATATTCATACCCTGGAGATCAGTGTCTACGACGTTTTTCCCCTTAAGAAGTTAGTAGATTTATGGCCTATTTTAGTCTTACACTTTACTGTAATTGATCTCGATTGTTTTATACATTCCATCATATATACTTGATATCTATTTATCATACTATACTATGAAATTATATCTTTTACCTTGTATGAAGTTTGTCATAAATACTTCAGTAATCACATGTACCTTAATAAACTTACGTATATGTGAGATTTTGTATCACTTGTGATTCTATTTTTTTTAGTCTTTGAATCGACCATCAAGGTACCTACCTCTATGATGAGATGTAACACGAATTTTTAACTTGGTTGTAATTATGAACAACTCATAAATGATCTACTTGTCTATAATGATTATATCAATGTATATAATTTTAGGTGTATAACATAGTGATATGTAGGTACATCATGTCAAAGACATGTGACACTCCCTCCACTTAAAATTGGCACTATATCGTTGTTGATTTGAACATGAATTGTGCTAATTGAACCGCTAAAATGTAAATTTGAATCACAACAACTATGAAAAATGTGCACGACTTATGAGCTATCCACTCACAGAGACTCTTACTATATGCACGACAAATAACAATTGCACACTGATTAAGTGTTATCATACCAGCGAAGACATAGAAAGGCACAATGGTGTGTGTTATCTCCACACTAGACCTTGGCACATACAAATTGTCGAATTTAAGTTGGACTCACCAGACAAACGACGACAACTAATTTCGACATACCCTTGCCTCAACAAGGGGGAGAGTGCTCCAACTCTCTCTTTAGTCATTCTTGCCCTAACATATATTTTCTTGGAGAAACATAACGGTGCAACCCCTGAAGATGAAACTCACAAGTCTACCACAAAATTTAATCATCATATCACCAACCCAATTAGTGGCAAAAATTGAAAAGCATTTATTTATTTTTATTTTTATGTCTTCTTTACATTTGTAAATAGTTGCAGTTTTAGTATGCTTCCATTGTGAATTATTACATCGTTTTACTATGCTTATTCATACTCATGGATGTAATGCATGATTAATGATAAACAAATGGTTTACCATTGTAGCATACTGATATGATAAGCTTTGAAGTGTTAGATCCAGAAAAGAAGATTGGAGTAAGTGTTAGATCCAGAAAAGAAGATTGGAGTAAGTGTTAGATCCATGTGGGTGTTTGTCTGAGAACAGCATAATCAAATTTTAGAATCTAACTATACTGAACCTTACAAATCTATTGAAAAATTAACATAAGTTCAAATTCTTACCTCATGATCTTTCTCGTTTCTTGATAATTTGAATGACTCAAGTGTCCCGACCAAATTTTCCCAGCCTGTTGAGCAAGTTTTGTGAAGGGGCTATAGCTGAAAAACGCTTCCTCGTGGCTGAATCGAAGCACACCCAACTATTATTTTTTCTCCAAACCCTCATCTCACTAGTCTCTATTTTTTTTTTTCTTTTTTCTTCTTTATTTTTCTTCCTCACTCATAAAATATAAATAAAATATATTTTTGAAAAGTTTAGATACATTATTGAAATAAAATATAAAATTAAGAGGAAATCAACTTTAGTGCGAAAATCTAGAGTCGAATCAAATCACAAAGCGAGTTTAATGATAGTCTAAAACGGTAAGAAGTTACTTTTTAGCGAATTTATTTCTATATAGCTAATGAAATGGAATAAAAACAATTGTTGGAACGTTGGTAGGAAAACTCTTCAATTTCGGTGAAGGAACTGAGTTGATTACATAGAAAAAGTTATGAAAAGTCAAAAGAAAATAGAAAAAATTGATCGACGACATTTAATACATATACATTATCTTAATATGAGATATTATCATATTAAATCATTTCATCATCATACATCTTACATTATCTTATTATCATGCATCATACATCTTACATCATCTTATTATCATGCATCCTCATCATCATGTCGACATCATGTATATCATCATATAACATCATCACGTCATCACATTATCATATAATAACATTATCACATCATCATATAACATAAAACATAAATGACACGTGCAAGGGCCACTATGCACATATCATCATACATAAGACAAGTCTTCCGACCGAGTCGATAATAAGACCACTTACTTGGTTGGTCTTAGCTAAAGTTTTATTTGGCTCCAAATTTGCTTGCTTTCGTCTTTCGAATTCATTCTCACTTGTGTCGAGGCTTCTTATTTTGAATATAACCATAATTGCTGAATAAAAAATCGAATTCCATTTTATCATTGTTTCTATATTGTATTTGATAGTAAAACTTAAATTAAAAAATACGTCAATATTATTTTATATTGCTTGAATTATACCATCTAAATATTAGTCGTTATAATATTATTTTCTTACAAACAATTGAGAAGCAGTAACACTTCTAAGATTTTTCCTTTTCTTCCTATCTGTCTTTTTTTTTTTTTTTTTCCTTATGTTGGAAGGTATTTTGGGTCAATTTTAATGGATTTTTTTTCTTTCCTAAAATGGAAGATTTCTCAAAACAAGTAAATCATTCTTAGTTTACTTTTTTTTCTCCTAAAAATGGTTATGTATCACGACTCCACAAATATATAAATGGTTATTGTATTTAATTTCTAACTAAAACAAAATTGAGATTAAAGAAAAGAAGATCTAATTACCCAGTGTGTGACAAACTCTTGAATCAACATCTCTCCATGTAAATTTTCACCAGTCATTTTTATTTTATGTTTATTTTTGTAGGAAGGAATTACTTGTTAGTTGGGTTGAGGTATGTTAGAGAGGTTGTGACGAGGTGAAAAAATGGGTTATCACCTTTTTTTATTTATTATTCTTTTTTACCATTGTTACCATGAGCGTAAGCGCTAAGAAGATGTGTGTCAGGTGCCCATTTGGACGCACATTGGCAGTAGAGGGAGGCACGTGCCATGTTGGTAGAGGGAGACTCCAGCCAGCTGACTTGACACAAATTGACCGCTTTGCTTCAATTGTTTTCCACGCACAAGATATTGTGATATGTGATTTAGGTGATTAATGGACGTTATTTCCCGTTGAGTTTGGATGATATTTTAACTGTTTTAAGTGATTGATAGGAATATCTCCTTAATAAGTATGCATGAATATACTATGTTAGGGTTAGGGCACGAAGAGTTAGAGTAGCTACATAACAACCCTATTTTTTTCTTTTAAAATAAAGTCGTTACCATATGCATGATATCCTTACCATGTGCATAAAATTATTCAAAATATTTTAGTCAGACTTAAACGTTCACAAAATTTATTTGAAATAAAAAATAATGCCAATGAAATGTCGAGATTAAAAAAAGGAAAACAACCACTCCGATCAAGAATTCAAAAGAAATGCATACATCATGATCTAACCCAAGGGCTACAACTTAAATGATTTATCTTTACCTAGAAAATGATAGAAAATATGGCTTGAGTATTTAAATACTCAGTAAATAGTCTTACTATTCGGGTTGAGAAATGCAATCATGGTGGGACCTATCATATCGTAAGCTGCTCTTTGGGCTTTACTTTTTAGTCCATAGAGGATTAGATGTGTAATACTTCTACGTACGATCCACATACGCGCACATGGATCTACCAGGACGGGCTCGTATGCATACCCCCTTGGGCATGACTACGAGCTATTGTACGCTCACGCTACCAGAAGTTATGGAGGGAAAGAAGCACGTATCATATCATGGTGTACGCGTTCATACTAATCATACCAGAGAAGTATCCCAATGCTCGTGACATACAACATGCATAAGGTTCCATAGTTTCAAATCATGATATATACTTATGATGCAAATCTTATTTTCATTCTTTTCATGACATAATGTTTGAATGGGACATGCATACGCATACGTGATATATCTGTCATGGTTAACACACGTGGCTTATAAATTTCTCATAAACAAAATGTGAACATACTATCATAATAGATATGTCATGTCATAAAGGAAGTACGTGGATCATATGACATTCATATCATAAAATAATAATCACATCATACATAACACCCCATAGAGCCCTTTCCAGCCATTTTTTATCCGTCCAGAGTGATTTTTTACTCAGATTGGCTCAACTCTAGCTCGACTTAGGTCATTATAGCTACTATTTAGCTAATCTAAAATATTTTGAGCCAAAATTTGAACTAATCGATGTCGTTAGGTAAATTAATTCATTTAATATTATATTAACCCGATGTCATGGGACTCCATAGGTAGAATTGGATTGCAAGGAACAAATTCAAGTTAGCATTAAGAAACTCCCCGGTCATAGAGGGTGTTGCCCTGAGGTATTGTCGATTTGTGTATTTTGGGTCTTTTAATTTCATTTTAAATTGTATCCCAAACTCATTCTCCATATGTAATAAACTTGAACAACACCGACTTGTATTGATTTTTTATTTGATCTACTTGTGATATTGTTTGATTTTAAATTACACATAATTTTAATATATTTTATTTTGTTTGCTTTTGCCTTGTCTTTTTAGTCACGACTAAGATTCAAAACCTCAAAAATTGAGTTGTGCATATTGGCATCAAAACAATCGGGTTTTAGGTCTTGTAGGCTTATCTTGATAGAAAGTTGTATACCTCTGTGGCCAGCTCGACGATATGCCCTACTGCAACCAAGTACGTAATCTATACAAGTAAAGTAGTATATGAAATGTTACAAGTCTTGCATGAACTCGGTTTCTCGAATACACCCTTAATTAAATTAAAAGAATAAAACTCATAAAAATAAGTTTAAAGACAAACTCTAGTAAGCTTCAAACTTGTTGAAAAGAAAAAAGGAATGTTGATCGAAATCTAACTGTGATCGTATGGTTATCTTCTCAAACTGCATGGCATTCTACTTTCCTTTTTATTTTTAAGAAGATTCTTTTATTTATTTCTTAAAGCTTTAGATGTTACAATCTCACTGCGCTAAAATTCGAGGTAGTGTCTCCTAAGATATTGGTCATTCACTATTGTGGCTATGTAAGCTGACTAAATCAAAACAACAATAAAACTTGTTCACCTCGAGCTAATATACGTCATCTGGTAGATCCATCGTATCAGAAATAGATGAACCACCTCTAGACCTAGTGGGTTTGTGATAGATATGAGAATTGCTCATAACTTTGAGACATTCCCAAAGGCTTAGATAG